CATTTGTTTGAAGACCTTTCTCCGAATGTCTGAAGGAATGTTCAACTTTGCACGAATAGAATTCTCTTCCAAGAGAAATAAAATCTTAAATAAGTAAAGTACTAATCCTATTGTACATTATGTGACACTTCATAATAGATAAACAAGTAAAACTGACAGTATTTCACCCGGATGGTTTGAATAGGTAAGTTTATGTTCATTTGCCATAGATATAGCATGCTCTTTTAAACTGAAAAATGATTCACTTATGCTTATTTCATCAATGATCCATTCCTGCACACATAGTTATTATTTTTATTAGTTAATGATTTAATAAAAAAAAAATTAGAAAGAATGTGACATATACCACTCTTGCAGGCCTCAGATCTTCTTCAAAATTCCACTTTAACACATATCTATTTTTAGTTACTGACTTTATATCCTAAAAGTATTAGAAAAGGGTGTTAAGACAGTTAAATGATCAATTTGTAATCAATTATGTAAATCTTTGGAGTATGCTCACTTACAACATTAGGTGACTCCACATCCATTTGTCTTCTCTTAATTGATGTCAATTCTTCATCTTGTTCTAAAGAATGCTTCTTTGTTTCTGAGCCATCAGACTGTAGTATAATAAAATGGTATTAAAAACATTTAGCAAGATTATATAAAGGACAATAAATCTGTAAAATATATACTTACTTTGTTATCAGATATCTCATTTTTTTGATCATTATCTGACAAGATAAAATGTTCTACAGCAGCATTTGTAGTTGCATGTATTGAAATGCACTTGATTTTTTCCTAGATAAAAAAAGAAAGCTAGTGAATATCAAAATCAAAAGAATTATAGTAAATATGCATAACAATACCTTGTCTATATCATTAATTTTGTTCAAACCAGCTAGTTCTTGTGTGAATTTCCAAAGTGTAGGTGTCATTTTATATTTATTTTATTGAATAAAAAAATTTATACATTAGAAAGAATTGCATGTTCACAAAAAAGGATAATATAATCCCAACTGCGTATAATGTGATATGATACAAGGATCGCAATACCACACATACTCCCCACTTTCGGGCGAACCGCAGACCCTATTATGACAAAGTCACTCAACCGCAGTTGCAGGGTGTAGTTGGGCTCCACCAACAGCATGACAAATGCGTGTCATGAAGGAATCCATACTCATGACACTCTTCTTCCCATTCAGATAACCGCAGAAAATCTGTTTATGAGACCTCAGTCCTGGGCGTAGCAAAGTGTCACTCTGTTGGTGGGTATGAAGGGAAAAAAAAACTGACCTTAAGACTTTTACGAATAGAATTTGCATTCGCATATTTTTTAAAAGTATGTCAAGCTCACTTGAAAGTGCAGAATGAGAACCTTGCGTGTATTGTCAGGAACTTTGTTTATATAAAATACATTCAAATTTTGCACATCGCCCCATAAATCAGAATTCCTATCCCAATAATCTAACGAGTTTTTGATAAATCGTAAATATAAATATCAGCTAGTAAAATTAAATATATTTGATATATAGAATAGATTACACAGAACAAGAGAATCATAGTAACTCACCAGGATAGCGAAGAAGGTCAAGAATTTCTCTTGGTAAATGCGTCATAACAATAATAACATTAATAATAATAACAGTCGGACAGCACTTACTGATTTTACTATATGATCAACACATCACGTTTTTTGTACAACAGACTTTAAAGGAAGAATTGAATGCAAGATTATTAACAAACAATTTTTACACTTTTAAATAAATACAATC